TGGGCTCACTCCGCACGGGCTTGGTCCCTCCTGCTTCTCGGTCGACCCAGGCCTTCAACGCACGCATTCACCAGAGACAGAGATGCCACTACCACCAGCTAGGGAGGCGGCTGTCCCACCCTCTCGAGCTGTTGGCACCTCGCTCCGGGCATGCCTCCAGGGAGGTTCCCGGAAGGAGATGCCACCAGCTCGAGGGGAGGGAGCGGCCACCCCACTATAGCTGGTGGTAGTGGCACTCCTGTTTCTCCTGACGCATGGCATGACAAATCAGGGCTGAGTTCTGGCTGTCGTGCTCGGCGTCTGGGGGCCCTCGCCGAGGCCCTGGGACCGTCCACAAGACGCTCTGGGACGAACAGCTGGTCCCCGGGAAGTGGTCCAGAGCTCTGGGCATCCTGCACGGACGCGGTCAAGGCAGCGGAGGTCTGGCCCAGGGGCCGGAGGTAGCCTGCCCGAGCATGGCCCTGGACCGGCGCGAGGGCCCAGCCCGAGGGCCAGGGCGGCGGGCCAGGTCGCTCCTGCTGCGCAGCTGGCCCGAGAGTTGCGGCATGGGCCGGAGGAGCTGCGGTCGCGCGGATGAGCGGATCACTCAGCACCGGCCAACCGATCCCCATCCCTATTGGGTCGTGGAATCTCTCTCGGCCCCAGCAGCCCACCCCCCCAGATGGGGATATTCAGGAGGGAAAGAAAAACACAGACACAATTAATCGTCGATTCCCAGAGAATATGGGAAAATATGGGAAGTGGGGGGGGAGACGAACACCCAGAAAATATAAGAAAATATAAGGAATCCGGTGTTTTGTGTCTATTTATTTGTGTGGCCCAGGGCCCCTTCAGATATGCCCAACCCAACCGAAAAGGGAGCAGGATCTATCCCCGTCTGCGGGGATAGGTGGGTCGGCCAAGGCCATGTCAGTGGCGCTTGGGATCGGCTGAACGGTGCTCAGAGCACACATATTGTGTCGGCACTGTGGGAGGGTGCCCCTTCGCCTGGGGGCCTTTTGGCGATGGGCCCATCCAGGACACCAGGCGGAGCCTGGAAGCCGCCAGGGGGCCAGGAGGGGCTGCTTCGGGCAGCTCAAGCGATGGGTTTTCTAGCCAGCAGGATTCGCGCCTGTCCGCAGCAGGGGCCCGGGGGGGGGGAGGGGGCTGCGATGGTCTGCGGCATGTTCGGGTCGTGTCGACACGGCGGCGACCCCGCCGCGGGCGTCCAAGTTCGAACGCCGCCCGCGGCCCATAGTCGGCCGACGTGGAACGATATGGTGATCGCCGAGGAGCCGCCGATTGCATCCGGCTTGCACGATCCGCGCGCTGCCAGAAAGCAACGCCAGGTCGCACGTGACTGCTGCCTCCGATATGCTGGAGCCGCCGTTCGACGGCCTGCTCTTCCTCTTCTGCGTGCGTGCCATCCTCGCCGTTCGACGGCAGGCTTGCCTCCGTGGGCATCGAGCTCTTAATGCAACCGTTGCCGCCGATACCGCAGCCACCGTCGCCGTCGCCGCCCTCCCCCCCACGCGAGGGGCAGATATGCCGAGACTGCTACCCTTCCCTCGTCGCCACGGTCGGATTCGGAGAACGGCACGGGCCTGCCGCAGACGGGCACGGCGCCGAGACGAGGGCCGCCCGGGGCTCGGGAGGGGCGGCGGCTGGCCGGGCCCCCTTCCCGGATCTGGGTCGGGGGGCCTGCTCGGCGCCGAGGCTCGCCGTGGCCGGAAGAGCCCCCCCTTGGGGCTCAGGATCGGCTTAATTATGGAGGATGAGGAGGCGGAGGAGGAGAAGGCGGAGGAGAAGGCGGAGGCGGAGGAGGAGGCGGAGGAGGAGGAGGAGATGGAGGAGGAGGCGGAGGAGGAGAAGGCGGAGGCGGAGGAGGAGGCGGAGGAGGAGGAGGAGGAGATGGAGGAGGAGGAGGAGAGGAGGAGGAGGAGGAGGAGGAGGAGGAGGAGGAGGAGCCCTTCGTTCCTGATCTCGTGCGCCTTCTGGCGGGACGCCGCCTGCGCGCCAGGCCCACAGGCACTCGCTGGACGGCTTCGCCCGGCTCAAGGGCTGCATCCTGGAGTCCACGGGCCGCGTGCAGCAGGCGCCGCGCGCACGGGGGAGGAGGAGGAGGAGGAGGAGGAGGAGGAGGAGGAGGAAGAGGAGGAGGAGGAGGAGGAGGAGGGAGGAGGAGGAGGAGGAGGAGGCGGAGGAGGAGGAGAGGAGGAGGAGGAGGGGAGGAGGAGGAGGAAGGAGGATGGAGGCTCCCTCGGCGCGAGGCCCGAGGGCCTGGGCCGCCCAGTCCTCTCTCCCGACGCCTCCCCCCCCTTCGCGCCTTGCCCACGAGCCTAGGGAGCGCTGCCCAGCACTGCAAGCTCCTGCGGCACACGTGCGTACCAGGAGGGCGTAGAACAGCTCGGCTAGGGGGCCACATGCGAAAACCACCACCTAACACCCCACAGGACGAAGGGGGCGGGTGGGGTCCCACTCGCTCGGGAGCTCAACGGAACGAAGTGACCCCCCCCCCCTCAGAAATCGTGGGCGGTAGGGGTAGGGTTCGCATGTGGCCCCCTATCGGCGGTGAGCGAGAGTTCTCCCCGCCCCGGGGAGCGCCGGGCCCGACCTCTCTTGGGGCGGCGCCCCGGGCTCCCCACGAGGGAAGCCGCAGGGCAAAGGTGCTCCCGCCCACCGGGGTTGGTGGACGTCCGTGGGGATCAATTCCCAGACATGATCGTGTCGCGTAAAAAAATCAGGTCCGCCTTTTCACCATTTTCGGCCCCGGGGGGCCCTCGCCGGGCCTCGAGACAGTCAAAAAAGGACCCAGGACGAAAAACCGGTCTCGGGGAAAGGGCCGGGACTTCCAGGGGCGCTGTCTTGAAAACATCAGGACGTCGCGTGTTTGGGTCCACCACTCCTCCGGATACGATGCCGACGCCAGAGCGGTGGCGCGCGAGCACGGCAGGAGAGGGAAGAGGGCCGCATCGGATCGGAAGGGAGGCTCCTCGCGAGCCTACATGCTGGCACTGGGCGAAGCGCACGGTGCGTCGCAGAGGAGGACCAGGCCAGCTTCCTCGTTCCACAGCTGCCGGTCAGGCAGCATGGAGGTTGCAGCGTCTCCGGTACAAGCGCTTCTTCGTCGTCGGCGAGCGAGGGGCGGAGGTGAGACGGAGGAGGCCTTCCCAGAAGGCTCGGAAGTCCCCCAGCCTTTAACCGCCCACCAAACCACCCCAACCCAACCCGAAGGCCCTGATTTGCTCTCTATTTCCAGTGGGGGGGGGGCGGGGAACACCGGAAAAACACGTGCGGAACCCGCACCCCCCCCCCAACCCGAAATTCGGATATTCGGGTTAGGTTGGGGTGGCCTGGTGGGCAGTCAGCCTTCTGAGAAGTTGCTCGGAAGTCCCCCGGCCTCCTCCCGAGCCTGCCCCGGAGACGCAGAAGTTCAAGATCCTCAGGCGGCGCGAGGGCTTCTGAGAGTTCCCGCCGCCTTCAGAGGGGGCCCTCTCCTTCTCGCTTCCCCCCCTCGCTCGCCGCCCATGGAAGCAGTGCAGGCTGCTCCACGCCGGCACCGCTCTGCCCTGCTTCGTTCGACTACACGCAAGAGTGACCCTTCGCCAGAGTGACCCTTGGTGCGGGCTCATCGGGCTCCCCCCGATCGCCGAGCACGATGCGATATAAGCGGCCCACGCCCTTGGGTTTGGCTCCCTCGCGCCCCCCAAAAGCTGCGCACCAAAGGCCACTCCTACCCAGGGTCACTCTTACGTCGAGCCGGTTCGTCCCTGCCCTCTGCTTTCCTCCCCCTGCGGCGGCGAGGGGGAGCGGCGGAGGAGGAGCACGCCGGCGGGCCGAGGCCACCTCATCCCGGCCCCTCCCCGCCCCGGGGCGGGGAGTGCTCCCGTTCCCCCTCCCTCCAGTCGGGTGGGGCGGGGTGGGGGGAGGGGAGGCGAGGAAGGAGAAGCAGGAGGGAGGAGGAGGAGGAGGAGG